ATATATAAATATATAAAATACTATGGACCAGCTGAATTTGACCTGATTTCAAGTATCAATTGTCTTTTATATATTCAATACTTTTTTTGTTATTGAAAAAAAAAAACACTATTTGAAATCACCTTTCTGTAAATTTCAAGGGGAGAAATTCAAACCATATAAATTGAGGTAGATGGTACTTTTTCAATGCTATAAATTCTGTGGCATTTAAATTGTAATATCAAGTATTCATTCATTGAAGTATTCATAAGCCATCAGAACTCTAAAGAATCTTAAACCCCCCCATTTTACCTCTTTTAATCTCTCCACCTCTTGCATCAGAGAGCAGACCATGCTCTCCGATTTCCTCTTGGCTTCCCTCTCTCGTTCCAAATCCTACAAGTAAAGCAAAGAAAAACGGTCCGTTAGTGTCGTACTTTGTTGGATCGAGGAACAAAAAACAAAACTTCTCATTAGAGAGGTTGAAGACTAAGAGACATCTATATATTGCTGAAGTTTTGAATTTAAGTGGCATTTCAGTGCTTGTGAGGCCTCTACGTACCAGACTAGCCTGTCCAGCTTCCCTCTGGGCCTCCGCCAGCAGCTCCTCTACACCCTCCAGCGTGTCCTGCAGGACGTCCACCTGGAACAACAGAGTCTCTCGCTCGACCTCCAGCCCACGCAGCTCCTGCACCACCTCTTCATAGCTGGCCTGCAGCTCCAGCTGCACCACAAACACAGTTACAAATCAGTGTGGGCAAACTTAGAGGAACGCATGCCCATCAGTGGGTGGACAAGTGTTTAGTGAGCTCTCAGAGGCATCAGTGGGAGCACAACAATCCCTTCATATGTAAAAGAATATGCATGACTGTAGTGATCTATGAGACCTCACAGAACAGTCTTTAAATAGAAATCATTTTCATAATTACAGTAAGAAATACTCACCATTTCTGGGAGTCCCATGTAGAGGTCCTGCTCCGACTGCTGAAAGAGGAGAAAACACATTTTTTAAGAATAGTGTTCATTTGTAAATAATGCTAAAGTGTTTTTAATGAGGTGAAATGAAGAGAAGCATTTTCTAAAAGGCCATATTGGATCGGTTTCCTTTACTCCTCTCGCTTACACATGATAACTATAATATGACTTGTACAACAAATTACAAAAAGTAGAATTTAAAAATCACCATGAAGGTAATTCACAAATGAATCGTTTTGAGTGTCAAAGTACCATGTGCTGCAGGACTTTGGTATTGGCTTGTGTAAGATCCGTGAGCCATAAGAAAAGCAATGTTCAGATATGTGTTGTGATGTAGAATTTTCTGTAAATTTTGAAAATCTTTACTTTTGTGAATATGTGAAGTTATTTGTCCTTAAAAAAAAACAAGGATTACTGAATTAATGTTAGTAGTTTGTTTCTGTTAGTAGGATGCTCCTTCACTTCTATTGATGACTGCATGGACAATAGCTCTTACTTTGATCTATTAGACCTTTTAAAAACAAAAAACACATTTTGACATGTCACAGGTTTAAATAATACAATTAATGATGGCTGAACATGATGTAGCTTCTTCAGTTTCACGGTCCTGTATCAAGCGTGCTGGCTCACTGACACGATTTACTGGGACTCTTCAAATTAGCGGAGTCGTCATTAATGTTATTACTAACATCTGTGCTAGTTCAATGTCTGCTGTAACAAAAAAAAAAAGCCTTATTAGTCCTCAGAAAACCAAAAAAGAATGGACCTTTTTAAAATAAAACCTTTTATTTGACACTGTACACCCTGTAAAATAGGGTATTGCACCAAATTCTGTGACCCAGTTAGGAATGCAAACTTTAATGTTTAATCATTCCTTATCACATACTGTGTGATAACAGCTGTTACCGAAAACGGTGCCTCCTCACTGTCTAGCGTCACAATTCCAACAAGTAACCGACTTTTGTACACCACAATCGCAGCTATCAAACACTATGTAGCACCATGTTTGATAACGGCTCTCAAAGTACAGCATGTGAGTTAGGATTTTCAAATACACATATGCAGTGGCAATATGGCTGACACTCCTAAGTAGGTCATAGAATATGATGGGTCACACAATTTGAGGCGACATCATCTTATGAAGACACATTCGCATCAGCCTCATTGCCTTTACACAGTTTTAACGTCAGTAGTACAAAGCAGAAAAGAATGCCACACAAATAATGTTATATTTTCAAAGATAAACAAGGTAAGACAATTTTTAAGCTTTTAATCCAGGTACACACCTTGTCCCAACAAGGTGACTGAACGCAAGGTTGGGTTTTCAGTAAATAAACGTTTAAAAACAGGCTTTGTGACATGACACACCGAACAGACACAAAGGCGTTAGCAGTCTCTTAAGTGCAGGAAGATGTATTCAGATTATTTACTTTAGTTAATGTACTAATACAACAAAAACACTCCATAACAAGTTAAGGCTCTTCATTAACATTGTACTTATGTAAAAGTACAGAAGTATTCACCAAAATGTACTGCAAATTATCAAATGTTTAATTACTTATTTTGCCCTGTGTAACTGATATATTAAAATATATGAAATTTGATTTTTAATACCAATGCAACAATATGTAAGCAGCATTTAACTACTGCAGCTGGTGGAGGTGTTAGCTAGTTTAGGTCAGTGGTTCCTGACCCTGACCTCAAACTATTTTTAAAACAAATCTATGTGATAAATAAAATTGAGAATCAGTGATTAACGTAAATATGTAACATTGAGTTTTTATATGGTTATGATATCATCTTTATGTAAATCTTAATCTGCCTACAACTGTCAGTTGGTAGAGTACAAAGTACAAATACTTCCCTCTGAAATGTAACGTTAACTAATGGAGTAGAAGTATAGACTATCTCAAAAATGTGCAACGCCCAATACTTGAGTACATTCCCACTACTGCTTATGTATTATCATTACACCGCAATGAGCAATGATAATGACACGTGATGAGAGACATAAACTGGAGACATTCAGGACTGTGGAGATGTTTGATTAGCTAGAGATCAAAAAAATGTACAGGTGTTTCGATTTTTGTGTCCACTCCTGGCTCCTGGTTGTGTTATCTGGCTCCTACCTGACTGTCAGTCTGCCTCTTCATGGTGCCCGCTCGGCTGTCGCTTCGTGTCAGACGCCTGGAGGAACTCTCGGTCTGATAAGGAGACCAAACAAAAAACACAAAGAGCCTAGCATCACAGTCAGAAACACAACAACACGCTAACGTTAGCTAGCTAACGTCATGAATCAGGAAGTGAACTGAAGCTACAGGCCCAACTGCTCCTTTGAGCCATTGGTCATTCTTAAACAGTTAAGAAAAATTTCCGAAATACACACATTGACAACTTTGCTGACGTTAAACGTTTAAAACGTCTAATACTCAACGGTAACACAACGTTAACGTTAGCTCTAAACAAACAGTAATGACGTCGTGATTCCTCACCTCTTTTATAATGCTGCGGAGCGACTCGTCCTCGCTCAGCCCCCGAGATAACGTCCGTTTCTTTGGCGAACCACTGCTGTCCAGCGTGACTGAATGCATATTTTATATTAAGTTTCCCGTTTATGTAAGAGACACCTCCGCACCCTCTGAGTGAAGAAGAGGTGTTTTGTTTTCGACGCAGCGGCAGTGAGTGAAGTATTTTTCCGACGCCCAGGTCGTGGTCTACGGAGAGCCACGAGGACCAAACTGTGTTTAACACCGCCCTCACTCCACCCACACAGACACAGAGAGAAGTCAAAGATCACTGTTTTGAAACTGTTGGCAGTTTTTAATGTTCAGATTAGAACCATGACGCATTTCAAGTCCTGGAACTCCTCAATAAAAACAAGGCCTATCAGGGATGTTCAGGTGAGCTTTATGGTTTGTGTGAATTTTGTGAAAACGTGAAGTAGATGAGGGAAGTTCAGTGGAAGAGAGTACAATAGAAAAAAGCAACTCATCACACTTAATTACAATACAAATAGGCTACATAAAAAATATCTTTGTCTCTGCCAATCACCATGCAAAATTAGAGTCATCATCATCATCATCATCATCATCACAAAAGCAAGCATAATACAATTATGCACAATATTTATAGAGTATCCCTTTTTGATGTAATGATGAAAACATACAGACCTCTGGGTTTTTTATTTCACTCAGTTTCAGCATCTTCTACTTCTACTTTTGAAGAAGACATTTTTTCTTATTTCTAATCATTAATTCACTAAGCAACGATATATGAAAGCACCTATAATTCCACTGTCAACAATACAAAATTCTTTGAACTTCTATTTGCATTATATACTATTTGGTCCACAGTGTACATGATCTGGGTAGTCAGATCAGACAACTCAATGGAGCACATCTGTTATGTGGATCTACAGCAACAAGCCCACTCATTCGCTCCTCAGCCTTACTTTACATTTATGGATCTCTTTTATCAATTCATCTATCAAATTGCGCTTTACTTCATTCATTGATAGATTATTACTATAATGATTTATGCATGCCTATTTATGCGCAGATATTTTGACTTGTCTAAGTAGGAAAAACAAAGCTGTGACTAATAACATTAACGATGGCTCAGTTGTATTTGAGGTAAGCCATTACAGTGTGACAGGAAGCCACAGAGTGCACAATACCAGCACCATGAAACCAAAGCAGCTGAATGGAATCAAAAGATCAATAATTATAATATACACCTTGTTTTTGTCAAAATGCCTTCACTGATAAAAAATATTGAGTGAGGTGGTTCACGGTGGACACAGTTACTGGAGAGTTGGCTGTTTTGATTGACTTTATCATATAAAGGAACATACATAGACTACTTTACAGCTCTCTTCCTGTTCCATAGCATCAGCATTGCACTCTGAATTTCTTGATAATCATCGACAGACAGATGCTCAGCATCAGAAGGTTGGATTGGCGGTCAAAAAGTCCAGCAGCTCCTGAAGATGTGATCTCAGACTCAGAAATGAGGCTTCCTCTCTGGGAAGAAGGTCTTGGTGCCTTAGACTCAAGAGTTGTTTATGTGCTCATGAGGCTGTGGTGAGTACTTGGTCCCAAATTCATATCTATAAGCACATTTAAACAACATAACCATCTTGGCATCTGTTCAGCACCCAGTATTTGATGCTAAAAAGTACAATGCAAATTAAGACTCAATTGGTAACATCTCTATACATCTAAATTCAAACATGAGCTTCTATTTCCTTGGTGTGGACCAGTCCGCTGCTTCCCACTGTTCCCAGTCTTTATGCTAAGCTAAGCTAACCTGTTGATGGCTCCAGCTTGATATTTATTGTACATTAAAGTACAATTACCTAAAACATGTTCTTGAGTACAGTACTAGAGTAGATGTACTTACTTTCCACCACTGCTGAAAGGGTGAGCTTCAGTACTCATGTTTAGCTTTGTTGCATTGCATGGAGGTTGTTACTCTAAACTGTATTGTTGCGTTGTGACATTTATTATTGATTATTCACATTTCATCTGCATTTATAAACATAAAAACCTTCAAACGCATCGAGCAGGGACATGCATTTTTGCCATATTGATCTTTGAAGAAGTTTCAGGTCACCAGTGAAGTGATGTTTAATTGTTGCTTAATAACACTGATTCCTTCCATCAAAGTGGAAAGAAGGGAATGTGATGTCTGGGAAGCCTTAACAACATAAAGAGACAACAGTCAGCAGGATTACTTTCAGTTGCTCTAATGCTTGATCCTCACTAACTTCTAGTCCTGTCAGTATTTGATCTATAAAGATTTAATACTGCTATATTCTCAAGCTAAATGAAGACTGGGCCGTGTTTCACAATAAAGTACCACAATCTGACTGCAACAAGCAATGCCAAATGCAGCACACACGGTAACTAATATTATAACTGAAACATGAACGGTTGTTTTTCTGCAGTTGCAACTGTGTTTCCGTCCAGCAGATGACACTAGTGGGTCAGTGATGATTTACTGGGAGCAGGCGGCTCATTGCTCCGTGAAGTACAATTTGTACATAAAGAAATCAGTTCCAGAAATATCACAGCTTTCATTAAGCAGATTATTAGTAATGAATACAGCATCTCTCAGTGGTTTGAAGTTGGGCAACATTTTTTATCAGGTCCTATGTCTTGACATACTGTGGGTTTGCAGCTCAAATGGACACTCAGAATGCTTTAGATTCTACAATCCATAATTAATCAGGAAACGATTCAAATGTGACATTTCCATAAGGCTTATACAAACTACCCTGATCAGTGCAAAGATAATGTCAATAACCGTATAGGCCTATACATTAAACAGTCTTTCTGCTAGCAGACATACTGCTACTGCATGACTTAAATTAATCTATTAAACGTACATCTTTTATTATTAGCGTTTAATACCAGCCTTCTTAAAACCACGTTTGTGCAATTTAGAGCCCTTGATTTGAAATGAAAAGGTCAGGTACACTTTCCTGGTTTACACAGATGACGCTGAGTTTAGACAGCCCTCCATCGGACAAGCTCGTGCAACTTCTAAATAATAAGCATTTAACCATAGGTCTACATGAAGATTCCTCATCAGTTTCTTGTTAAAATACATCGCAAACATATAGACGCATGTGATTTAGGAGTTGATGAATTCGGTTCGAGTCTATGAAGCTTATTTTCAATTTACACCATAATAAACCATTTGTAACAACAGGCGCAATGAGCCGTATTATGTCATCATCATAATAACCTAATTGGGCAATATCTCTAATGTGAGACATTGTTTGTGCACTGTAAAACATTTATACTCTCATAACAGTGTGTGCACCCTCCCTTCGCTCTGTCCCTCTTGACTTGGTGACAGACCTAAAAGCCTTTTGTTGCAATCTTAGCCAATGGAGACGGATTACGACACCAGGCAGCTGAGATATATAAAGAGCCCCTTTTTGGCCGCACTTGCACATTTTTCAGTGACACTTCTGAACATTCACACACCTCCATGGACTAAATTGTACAGAAGATCCCAAAACAGCCACTACACTACACTACACGTGAGCGTGCTATGCATTCATCAGACACGTAATTTGTTCACTTTCAATCCAAACAGTCTGTACCGAGACACACTGGGACGTACTTTTTTTTTTGGGAAAATTGATTGCAGAATCTCCTGCTGCCAAAAACAGCAACTTCGGGTTGATCGTATTGGATTAGATGCATGTCACTGATTGCCTGCCTCTTGTAGGGTAAGGAAAGGAGAGGCGCACATCCGAGAGAGGGGATATAACGGAATATAGCGAGTGAACAGACAAGAAACAGAAAGAAAAAAGTTGCATTGCCTAGTGTCCACGCATCGTCATGCCGAGGTACAACTTCTTACTGTGCTTAATGGTGCTCATCTCCTTAGGACAGTCGGGGAGCGATGAGCCCAATCTGCTGCTGCCTTCTGCCAGCGAGACGCCCACGGATGCCGGGCTGTCCCTGCTGGACGAGGACGCTGGTTCCCACGAGTGCTCCGCCTGTGTTTGGAGGGAGCAGAGCAAAGTGCTGAGACTGGAGACCATCAAGTCCCAGATCCTGAGCAAGCTGCGTCTGAAGCAAGCGCCCAACATCAGCCGGGAGGTGGTCAATCAGCTGCTGCCCAAGGCGCCTCCGCTCCAGCAGCTGCTGGACCATCACGACTTCCAGGGAGACGCGTCGTCCCAGGATGAGTTTATGGAGGAGGATGAGTACCACGCCACCACGGAGTCCGTGATCACCATGGCCTCTGAGCGTAAGTAATAGTTTACAACCCAACACTATTCTCTCGCGTCATGTGCGTAATTGCGAAGCAGATAGGTTCAAGTGACTCGGGCCTGCTCCGTGGACAGTGGAAGCTGGTGCTCATTCAAGTCAGTGACCAAACCTACTTTTTGAAATTGAGGGTCGACTCTGTGTGTCTGACTGATAATATTTAAAAAAAATGTCAGCTGATGGCCACTGCTGTCAAAATAGGGACTACTCGTGAAGCTGATAAATCAATAATCAGCAGTATAAAGAGCCTCGTCGCTGAAACAGACAGCTCCAATATGGCCTGATGAACTTTTGTTTACATGGTGGTGATGATAACGATGACGATGATGATGATGATGGAGGGCTGAGCCCTGTTGGAGCAGCAGTCTAGTGTTTAGCTTCTCAGCCACCTGCTGTCATGTTCAAACTTTTCCCCTTTTAGATGCCTTTTGTGTGTTTTGACGGGGAGTAAACGCATGACGGACCCGTGTGAATGTCAAGTGCATTACTAATGATAATGCAGCATTTGGCTGGCAGTTGCATCACTTCATCCTTTTAGGTCTTCTTTTGCATAAAGGCCCTAAATTCTGGAGTTATGATCACGTCATGAGGCTCCCTGATTATTGCCCCTCTAACAATTTGCTTGCTCGCTTATAATTTCCCATAAAACCACAGATAAACCGCAGGCAGGCCCCCTTGGAGACATTTTATAAAATTACTGTTGAACCCTGGCAGCTGTGCTCTATCGGTCTTTTATAGGAGGCTCTACCGGTTTCCCTGCTGTTCATCGCAGGGAGAAAAAGTGTGTCCAAAAAGCTGCTATTGTTCCCCTCATGCAGCGGCCCCCCTCGGCCGCACTTGCCTTTTAAATGCGAAGTTTATGGGCGCAGCTCGTTTTTTTTTTTCACTACGAGCACACAAAGACAGAGAATCACTTAAGGTCGAGGGGAGTGTGTGACCTTTTCCTGGTGAATCGCGGGGTTCAACAACATTTACACACGTAATATATTCTGCATAAGGCGGATAAAACACACTCCAAATAATCAGTTTTTTTCACCCCACGAGTGAACAAAGATACGCCTATGTGCAAGAGACTTTGGCCTCATCTGATGTCTGACACTATTAATTCCTCATTATAATATCTATCTATCCATATATCAATCTATCTATGTCGGCATAGTAGGTATATTTTAATATATTATCTGGGATTATTGCAAATCAGCTGCAGACTCAAAGGTAATCTGAATTGTATCTCTATTCTTCCTATTTCACCAAGAAGCTTTTAACTGTTAATTCTTTAAACTACTTGCAAACATCTCTGTGAACTTTATAATTGTTTACTCTGAGAGATGTTTTTAATCCGGACTGATGTGATCAATCCAGTTCAGTTAATCCTAAAGAGAAACGGTGCACAGATGTCTTACATCTTACAGGTGAATTGAAAGAGGTAGCGTAAAACGTTTGATTTGTCATTTGTGAACCGTTTTACTTCATGGGCCAGATATTTTTAGGACATTTCCACAAAATAATCTGTCTATCTATCTACAGTATCCCCCTCTGTTTCCATTAATAATTCTTGCTCACTCACACAGCATGTATGCGATTCATGCTGACAATGAAGATCTTCTATAATAACTTGCTGTTTTCTCTCTGATGTGCAGATCAAACCTACATTAATTATTATTCCCTCTCAACCTCTAAATACAGACGAGATGAAACTCTGCATGCTTAACACACTCATCTACACGTTACAAGTGAAATCAACAATATCCTCAAAGTGCATTTTTGACACTTTGCTTCCCAACCTCTGCACAGCCTCACGCACACACAACACAACATGAAAGCGATTTGACACCTTCTCAAGCCAAAAAAAAAGGCATTATGCATGACGCTTGCTAATTGCATATTTCTAACGGCCTTGTGCCAGCCAGAGGAGCTAATGACTGACATTACTGCTGTATCTGTCATGTGACCGCACTTCCTGTTCTGCTCTGTTTGCCTCATCTCTTTACATCAGCTGCAGTTTTTATCATCTGCTCCTTCTCTCCATCTCTTTCTCTCTGTTACACCCCTCACCCCCTCCCTCTATCCCCCCACCTTCCTCCCTGTTAGCCCCCTCTCTCCTTCCTCTTCTTTTTCTCTGGTACCCATGGAAGAGTTGAGAGAATGAGTGCATCTCTTTTTGCCTGTGGCGCCTTAGTGATCTCACAGGATTAAAAGTGCCTTTTCTGTCTCTCTGATAGAAGGAGGACTTCAAACACTATTCCCTGCGCACCTCGAACCCAATCACCCTTTCACGGTAGTGCACACTGCCTTTGATGGGCCATGTGGGTTCACACAGTACATACTGAACTGGACATGTGCCAGAGTTGCTTCTTAGTATTCACTCAAGGTACGTGGGTGCCGCAGTGGGGGTTGAGAGGGTCCATGCTTCCTGGTCTCTAATTACTATGAAATTTCATGGAAAAGTACAGCTATTTATATCATAGTGCGGCACTAAAGCATCTCTCTCTATGTAGTGTGTTGTGTAGGTAACCGCTCCGCTTGCTGTTCATGCATTAAAAATGAGTCAGTTTGGAGCAGTTTATCAGGGTCATTTTCTAGCGCAACATTGTGAACGAGTGTCAATTTTTATTAACAAATCTATCGCATTAACATATGAGCTGTCTGTATATGTTGATTTATGTGGGTAATCGTGGGTGCGCAGTGTGTATTTTGGATCTCAGTTTTGCCTGAGGTGTGGTCAGGATTTGACCCCACAAGTCTCCCATTTGTCACCTGTCCAAGACATTTAGAGCAGACCTTCCTCTCCCATCAGGGGCCTATTGCTCCTTTCTTTTTCTCTGTCTCTGTGTGCATGTTCTGATGCTGATTAACGGCACACTGTTCCATTAAATACTCCAGCAACATTGAATGCTAAAAACCAGTCCTGCCAGAGCACATCAGGAAAACAATTTAAAGAGAAGAGGCACCTTTGTGGCCTACGAATACTCTTGACTTGAGTTTAGGTTGTTTGTGAAAAGCTTAATGCATCATCTTCTTGAGAAAACTTAATTTCTGTTCTGTGACATTTTGAGTAATTTTGACATTGTCCGGTAAGAGAGAATCCAGCAGAGAGCAGCACTTACTTACCCTCCCTCTGCGCCTTTATTCCATGTTTACATTTTTCATAGCAGAGTGTCCAAAACATAGGAAATCAGTGACTATCTGCAAGGAAAAACTTTACATTTTAAAGGCATGAAAACTGAGGTTTAGACATAAAGAACTTCGCCTTTGAAACATTTCTTATGACCATTTAGCTATTCCTGAAACTTCTCACTTTGTTAAACTATTTCATACCCACAATTTTATCTTGTCCATCATGATTGTGTGTAGGCTAACATTAGGAAGTGCTATACTGCCATTATTATGTAATCCTTGAATTGTAATCTTGAGTTGAAAAATAAACATCTACACACATGTAAAGGTATGAATGTACAAATTTCCACATGTGCACACTTTTGTAGACACATGAGGATGCTCTCTCAGGCACACACACTCACACAGTCACACACACACTCCAGAGAAAAGTTCTCCTATTGACAAAAAGGGTCACAGAGTTCACAGCTATGTGATATATTGGAAGAGGAGACTATTAACCTCATCGGGTCTCTTTCTTTGGCAGCAAAGACGAACCGGTAGTAACTTGAACACTTATCCCCCACCACATACACACACATGCCCACACACACACACTCATCCACTAACCACTCCCACAAAAAAACAAGTCTTTTATAGTGTTGACCCTATAAAAGGGTCATTTCCTGAAGGTGCAGGAACCATAAAAATTAAGAGGGAGAGCGCTAAAAGGACAGAGCAGCAGAAGTCGGACTGTCTCCAACTCACTGGCCAGTGTTTGATGGAAGTTGATGACTATGTGAGGTTTTTATAGATTTATTTATTCCATGGAGGTCTCAGTTTGACGATGACACCTGTTCTCCCTGTGTAGTTGCTGGCATCAGTTGAGGGAAAGATAAACTTTGGTGTTGAATTGTTTGGATACTGAGGGGCACGACCGGTTTGTTTAAAAAGAAGTAAAAACTTAAGAAAGAAAGGTCTGTAGAAGTTGCACAACATACTGTCAACTTTATGGCTAATAAAATTTCAAAGGGACCAAAGTCTATTAATACAGGGACAAAATTTCCCCAGGACCTCAGGAATCTCACTCCTTTCACCCTCCTTCCCCTATTCCCACGCTCCCGTGTACCAGTCCCTGCAGCCGGCCTTTTCTCTTGGCATTTGGGAATATGTTGCTTCAGAATTAATGCATGCTTTACCAAAAATACTACACTGAGAATTTGAGAGAACGGATGTAAGACTGCATTAATGTCAGTTTGGAGATATGGCTGTGCAAGAATATTTTTGGCCTCCTTGTTAAAAAAAAGACAATCTTTCCTTTTACTCCTGGTGAGCACTGGTGAGCTCCGTGTTGGTTCTTTAAAGGATTTCAAAGACAGTGATCGAGTTAGGTGCATCGCAGCTCATGCTGCAGGGGTGGGGGAGTGGGGGAGTCCACAGGGAGCAACAAGCAGCCCAGTCCTATCCTAAAGGGACAGAAATCATGCAAGGGTTTTATAGGTACAATTAAAAAGACCTGAAACAGATGTTATGTTTCACTAATAAAGGAAATAATTACTTCACACCAGTAATTAAGCCCTGTGTAGGGACACGAGTGAGGAGGAGGAGGAGGAGGGGAGTGAAAAGATAAAATGGAGATCATTGAGGGGATTATTGTTGATGGATGCGTTCAGGCTCTGTGTGGTCGTGTGCAAGGAGCTGCTGAGGATCAGTTTATGGACGAGTCCATTCAACCTATGAGGCGTTTAAGCAAAGGAAATGCTGCATGGGCATAATGCTTGATCCCACGAGGGAGCCACTGTGTCGGTTAGAAGCACAATTAACGGTGGATTACCTCATCATTATCAGCATGAAAATTTAATTAGCCATTTTTCTGGAGAGCAG